CCCCCCCCAACCGTTTTTTTTTTTTAAATAACTCAAGACTTTCGCCCTTTAAATGACTTGAAGTGAGTGCCATCTTGTTGAATGGCCTTGGAGCATACGACAAATTTTCGATAATTCGCTTGAAAAGTATTCGACTAACAAAGCTTGGCATTCGTCCCCATAGGTCCTTAAGAATCGGCCTTGGTCATGGTGCAGAAGGGCTTGTGCGCTCGTGACCGCTAGAACAAGATCCTTACGGTAAAAAAATAGTCCTTATGGTTGGGACTGTTCTAGCGATGAAAGTCATAATCTTCTCTCACGTCCACATTCGAAAATTATGCGGCGCATGGCATTCGACTTTACTTCTTAAGTTAGGCTTAGTTGATTTTATATATGCAACATAAATTCGAGTTTGCACCAAAAGTTTCATGTACAACCGCAAAGTTTCCTGTAGCCTTTAACCTTCCGATGCCTTATTGGCTCTAAAACATTATGACGCGCTTATGTTTACTAAAGGCTTATCTACAAAAAATTTCATCGGTGTCAGCAAAGTTCAAAGTAAATTTTTGATAATTTGCCAAAATTAATAAATGGCGGACTTAAAAACAAAGCCTTAGAAAAGATGGGCCACACACCGTTCTATGAAAAAAAAAAAAAAAAAAAATGAAATTTCTACTTCATCCTCACCTTCTCACTAAACAATTTTAAATATTTGTTATATATAAATTTTGTCTTCCCACCTGATAACCGAGAAGAAAAACAGATATTTATATAGCACTAAAAAGTGAATAAGAAAAAGAAGAAAGTTCGACCATATTCCAGAATAAATCATATATACGAGAGACGACGAGACAACAACACAAATACACCTTTCGCAGCGTATTGAATACAATATTAAAAATTATTTAAGAGAATAAATAGTACTTAAGGTTTCATTGATTGTTAATTTTAGTGAAATAAAAAACAAAAGAAATGGAATTTTTTCAAAATTATTATTTTAAGTAATAATTAATGTCGTAATATATCTAATGGAAAAAGTTTTCTAATAATAGATGAAATTTGTCAAGAATTCCTTATTCAATTATTATAAATTAAGATATCGAAATTCAAAATTCCTATGAGATGTTCTTATACATTATACTATGATATTGAAAATATATTGGAATTGCTTAAAGCAACACACAAATCAACGCACCCATAAATATTTTGCATAGAATTTAAATTAAATCTTTTGTTTACAATATTCATAAGAAAATTTTTATAAGTAAACCAAGTCAAAAAAGATTACAGTAGAGCGTGGCCGACCTATAAATACACTTCGCGATTTTGAAATTTGTCATACGACGAATTTTCAAAATAAAGCGTTCTATGGGCCGATTTGTCGAAAGAATGATCCGATCTTAAGCATTTTCGGTAGTGTTCGATTTTAGGCCGAATTATATCAGTGCATCAAATTTGATCAAAATATCTTAAAAAGTACTGCCTTTAGATTACAAAAAAAAAAAGAAGAAAAACGTAAGGCGGACAGACGGACAAATGGACAAACCTGCAGGCAAGCCTAGATCGATTCAGAAGTGGAATCGAATCGACAGGTATAATAAAAAGTGAGTCTATCTCAAGTACTTTTGGGTGTTGCGTACATCCACACAAATTAAATAGGCATTTGTATCAGAAGTGGCGTAAGGCATGATGATATTAAATACAAAACGTTCCCCTAAGTACTTCTCGAACATTATTTGGCTGCCATTTTCATAAAAATGAATGTTTTAATATTCGTATTCGGCAATTATTCAGTAGAATGAACGCAACAACTCCATTCTAATATTAGAATTAACAGACGTGTCCTTTTATCGCAAGACCACTTGATCAATATCAATAATGAATTAATGTGAAATTTTCAATAAAAATCATGTGCCATCATCAAAAACAACCATTGGTCATTTAGTGAGATAATTCGAAATTTATAAAGTTGAAAATTGTTCATCAATCTCAGTTTGACGACGATATGATGATATTTATTTTCATATATTTTTATTTTCACTTCAACTCTCATATACAAATTTATTTCATAAAATTGTACACTTTATTGTAAATATAGCGTTAATATGTTCCACCTCCCAGCTAATACAATAATTTGCATTTATATTAAACATAAATCTTTTTTCATATGATTGAAATTGTGTATGCAGAGTTAATATTAATTCCTATTTGATATTTCTGCAAAAGTAATTTCCATTTATTTAAAGCGAAGAGTTTTCATTTACCTAAAATCATATGCAAAATGTATTTATTATGAATTAATTCGAACAATTTTCTTAGCATTAACTAAGGATCATTTCAATACACTGTAAACTCCAATTTGTTGTCTAATATTATAAAACAAGGATATCTTTGAAAGATTTTCACAGAGTCTATAAGTATTGTATCTTTCAAGAAGAGGCGGCACTTTACAACTTTTCACGCAACAGGAACGATCCGTGCGTCTAGTGGCGCTATTCGGCTGAACATAAACGTCGTCCCCATCCATAACGAAGAAAAAGTTAGTCAATGGTGTTCTGTAACGCAATCTGAAGCAATCCTATTTCGCGATGCATGTGCATTAGTTTTTGTTGATTGTGTCTGATAAAGAAAACTAATTAATAGCGAGAATATATATAAACTAATGATACTTTATTGATGAGGTAATCAAGAAAACATGGTTGCATTTGAAGAGAAAGAAAGAGAAAGAGTTTGTTTTACCAAAAGAATGCTCCAGCTCGCGCATCATTTCGCGTTATGGGCAGAATCAAAGCGTTAAAGCTCGAATTTCTTCTTTACGCAGTCTATTTATTAGATATAGATTTTTGGAGTTTTCGCCTTATCCAGCTTGAAAAAATGACGCGATGTCGAAAACATTCACCAAAAATCAAAAAGTGTAGTTTAGAATTGATAGCGATTTTAGAGCATAACGTATCAAGTTGAACGGCGACTGTGTTGAAACATAAAAATGAATTGCTTTATGTTGTCTTATGTTTGCAAAACAGCTTTAATCTTGATGCCTGCGCAATAGCATGACAGCACAAATCTTTAATTACCTTTTTCATGCCGAATGCAATCGTATTCTAAAATAAAACTTCTAAAAAGTAATTTATTGCACTATGGCCAATTTAGTGAGTCAGGGCGAGAGTTCAAATCTAAGTGTAATCAAGTTTGTTCTCGTCAATTGGGCACACACCCACTTAGCTGCGGCCGCCTGACTATATCTTCCGCCTTCTTTACTTCTTTTTGACCGTCATAATAAGGGACATCCCCTGAGTGAGCGATCATATTTTCGAAAAATGATCCGATCCGACTCAATTCATTAGCGTTCGTACTTAGACAAAAACACGTCGGAGTCTAGCAAACTTCATAAAAATATCTCAAAAATGCGAGCTTTATGTTGAAGATAGAGACAAGATTAGGTGGGTTTACATCAAATCTGTCTGGGTGTTGTATACATTCACACGAATTTAATAAACTCTTATATCACAAGTGGTATAGAGTGTAATAAAAAATTATCGATCGCATTTCTCTCTACGTATCTCTACTGAACTTGAATTATTTTCGTGGCTCTTACTAACAACTGCTGACAGCAATGTGGGAGCTGTAGGGGCGGGTGAAATGGAAGTTTGAGCAAGTTTAAAGGCCACTTAAGGTGGTTTAATTGCACTTAATAACACTGTGGACGTCTTGTGTATTAGCAGGTGTGGCCGCTAGCCCATAAAACATACTTGCATACACTTGCTGATTACAATTGTAGTCTTAGCATCTAACATTTCCAAAGAAATGACCGAAACTTCTCAACAGAAACGGAGGCATGTAACGGATTTATAATATCAAATTACTACTAATAACTTGTTAAAAATTAAGAAACTAGCAAGGCCTGTAGCTGTCGGCGTGAATTTGCCATTAGTTTTGGTCACAGTGAATGCCCATCAATGGTATTAAATGAGATTGAAAAGAAAAATTGTGAAAACAGTTGGAAAGGAGGAATTAGTGTTGTGTCTCATTTAGACGCACACAAACATTCCCACCCAACTTTTAACTAAAAACTCTTGAGATTTCATATCAACTGAATTAACGCTGTGATCAGAAAATGGGACCAATATTCAAGTTAAACTGCGTGACAGATATCCATCGATGAAAACAAATCAAATATTTGTTGCTCAAAATCCGTCAATTAATAATTAGGGGCCCCATTGACGCTGTCGACATTTCAAACTGATCAGCCAGCATCATTTTAAAAGATATTTTAGGCCTAAAAAGCGTCAAATCTCCAAACACATTCAACAATATCTAACTACTAATCGGCCATATTGTAGGAAAAGGAAATGCACATGATTCGGAAACAATCAATCAATTGAGCAAATGTCGTGTACAAGGTGAGCCAAGACTGAAAGAACTGCCCCAAAGTCGCTCAAAAATCAAAGTGATAACAGTTTCGATTATCGCGGCGTTATGCGTTATAAATTCCTTCTAATCGGGACAAACAGTTTTTTTTTTTTTTCTTGTTTTTTAATTTATTCACAGGTGAAATTCATTCGAAATAAATTAACAGACGACAATTCAATTGGCTCCTGGAAGTAAATCCTACGCTAATTATTACAAAGTCTGCAGAGAGATATATAGAAAAACAAAGAAACAAAAAAGTAAAAAGAGTATAATACGTGTACAAATTAATGAGAGTGAGAGAAAAAAAGCATATACGAATCTAGCACTGAGGCAGACCTGCAGTCAGCACACCGAACCCCGAATCCGTTGCAAACATGCAAAAGCTTGGCAATTCATTATAG